CAGCGACCGGTACGGTAAAGAAACGCACGCCTTGGGATACTCACAGGAAACCGGCTTGGTGGTAATGATCAGTTCCCTTGTTCAAAACAATAAACCTTCAAAGAATACATGCACAATGAAAATGTTTCATGAATAGTCAAACAAATAACTGCATTTTGGAAGGGATGGACATTTTGGTGACCCCAGCCATAAGAATCGTGCAATCATTGTCATTGGGGGGGGGGGGGAGTGTCTTTACCAGACTTGCGTGTTAATGTAATGAATGTGTTGGGAATACTGAATGGGACGCTGGTTGAACAATACTCTTCCATCTCACCTACAAGTATTGTACAAATGCAGTGTCTTCACATCATAATAAAACTAGTTCTATCCCAGAGTTGTTATGAGCCACCGTGTTTCTGCTTGACTGCACTAGTCAGAACATACAATGGGTGGTATAGCATTGTTAAAAGATGTATTGTTCAATATACGTGTACAACTCTAGTGGAATTGAAACCGCTTAGTTTCATGAACCTTGGAGGTTGAAACGCCCGGTATGTGATGGTTCTTAGCTGTGTGTACGTGGGTGTCTGTGTGAGGGTTTGGATAGAATGAAGAACAGTGAATTTACATGCTAGCACTGACTTGCGATCTTTCTGTGTTTGTTGTTTTACATTTAGTACCAAGACGATTTAGCCGAGATGAATGATGCCGCGAGACACCGACCAAGATCTGCTTTAGTCTTAGGTATACAGCAGGAAAATCGACAAATTCGAGAACTTCAGCAGGAGAACAAGGAACTGAGGACAGCGCTGGAAGAGCACCAGTCTGCTCTGGAGTTAATAATGAGTAAATACAGAGAACAGGTTTTGAAATTAATGCTCGCTAATAATTGGGACAAAGCAAGTCTAAATGTTCATCAAGAGAACTCTAAGGTTTGTGTTTTTACTAAATCAAATAAGTTTTAATGAAATTTAAATCTTCCTTACAGTATTATTTACAATAAATACCTACATAGAACCACATTTGATATTTTGAGTGGTTTATCAGTCTAGTTTTTTTAAAGTAATTTCATATTGCTCATGTTTACAATACTCTGATACTGAGTCAGTTATTGAATACTTATTTAAATATTCTAAAACATATATCTAAGTTACAATCAATTAACAATAATGGTGCAATATCCACTCATACAAAATACAAAATTATCATGCGTATTAATTAATATAAAATAAATTGCATGGCCTTGACCTTAACTGGTGTATTCATTCATTTGATCTAGTACACTTTTAACACCTGTCTTATTCTCCAATCATTTGGTGACATGAAATACCTCTATAACCACACTTAATGTTTAGTTCAGACAGATTTCATGCTGTTGTAATGTTGAATGGATAAAGTATGCCAGATTTTTGATGACAAATGAGTTACGTAATAAAAACTAAACCAGTCCACATTAGTATAACACAATGCCATGTGCACAATGTTTCAATGTTTGAGTCCCATATTTTTCCCGCAAAAATTTTTGTGTAATATGTTGCCTATTTATAAGTATTTTTATATAAATGTTTGTTAATTTTGAACCAAATGGACATCATTTCTCTTTCGATACAAATCTTGATCAAAATATGTATAAAAAAAAATATGTCTACAAAAGTAGTTCATAGGGTTAATAATAATCTCTATGGATTCAATGCAGGAGCTACAACACATGACAGAAAAAATTTGTGAAATGGCTGCAGTGATGACTTATGCCATGAATATGGATGATGAATCCGTTGCTATGGAAACAGAACTGCTTACTAGGCTACAGGTGGAAAACAAGGGACTGAGGGAAGTACTTGGGATCAGTCGACGATTTAACCACAAGACAAACATTATTAATCAAACATCATCAGACAATCTTGTTACTAAAAGTGGGTCAATTGAAAAAGAAATTGTAAATGACAGTCAAGTTGATATTGAGGAGAAAGGAAGAGAAAGTGAAAGTACTGAGGATGATTCTGAACATTCACAAGATGAGGGGGTTGATGTTGTCATGAAAATAAAGGATGTGAAAAGAAATGATGAGGGAAAAGACAAAGATGAAAAAGAAGATATTACGAAGGAAAAAGACGAAATGAAGGTGGTTTGTTCTAATGCTGGGGAAATAAAGGAGGACTATTCTAATGATGAAAAAACAGAAGAGAAACCTTTCAAAGATAAAGAAACAAAAGAATCTTCCAAAGATGGAGAAACAAAGGAGGAGTCTTCTAAAGATGGAGAAACAAAGGAGAAATCTTCCGAAGATGGAGAAACAAAGGAGGAATCTTCTAAAGATGGAGAAACAAAGGAGAAATCTTCTAAAGATGGAGAAACAAAGGAGAAATTTTCCAAAGATGGAGAAACAAAGGAGGAATCTTCTAAAGATGGAGAAACAAAGGAGGAATCTTCTAAAGATGGAGAAATGGAGGAGGATGCTGATAATAAAAATGAAAAAGAAACAGAAGAGCAATGTCATAAAAAAGACAATAAGATTGAAATGAGTGATAGTTTGGACAAGAATGATAAAAAAGATGAAGAAAGTGATGATACAGATACTCCCAAGTGTTGAATGATGTATTTATGTTACGATATAACTGTGCTTTGTTCCTAAAAGACAATTACAATTTTTGTGTTTCTTAGACTGTTTTTAAGTTCTTACCTCATCAGGAAACTAAGATTGTAGTGTGTGTACACACATTTGACACCATTTGCTTTTCTTTTTAGATAATGAAATACGGGTTGTTGTCTCATGTTAACAAGTAAATATCCAGCACTACAGTAGACCAATGCTAAGTCATCTGTGCAGGCACTTTAACAGGGATTTGAATTTTGCATTTTCTATTGTATTAAAACAAACTATATACAGGCTAAAGAAAACTTTCTATTTTGCTTTAATCCAAAATATGGTAGATATATTTGCATTCTGATAGCAAGTTTCTTTTGAGTCTTTTGACAATCATGTTGAATATGTGATGGTTTGAATTTTATGCGGATTGCATGAAATATTTTCAAAATGTTAAATTTGTCAATGGTTTTTAGTGTCGATGAATATTGTCAATTTAGTAATTTGATTGTTCAAACTAAATTTGCTTCAGAATAGTGTTTGAACACGAAAGAATTACTGTGGCGAGCAATAATTTTGGTTCAATCTGGTTCAATTCTCAAATATTGCCTGCATTTAGTGCATATACCGGTATATTGTAAAATTGTTTCACATAATAGTCACAAGCTTTAGGATATCCCAGAATGTAACATTACTAAACATGTAGACTGTCTCTCTGGCCTGATGTTTTTTAATCTAATGCTGCAATGCGATTGCGAAGCGAAGGACTGTAAGACCAGAATCATTGTCATAAGCTGCTATGCAATCACTCGCCACTGTAGAGAAATTTTCCTGAAATGTATCTAGGTGATTGACAGGTATAATGTCACAAAATTGCTATCGCAAGTCGCAGGGGAAATGCAATATTTTATTTTGCTGATGAATTTTTAGAAAAGCTTGGCGTGATTTGGCGTTTTCATGCAGATGAGTGTGGCAATTTGCAAATTTTATTTTTTTTCAGATGCTTTCATAATTAATAGCAAGGCCCTTATTACAGTCCCTGGACCCTTAAGGTCCTCGCTTTAAAATGCCTTTGGCATTTTGTAAACATGTTACATTAAATCATTTTAGTTGAAAAAAACCAAACATTAGACCAGAGGGACTGTCAGCAGTCAACATTATTATGCAATATGGATAACTTGAATATTTGTAATTTTGCTGTTGATACAGTGTGCTGCAAAATACACATGCACTTCAATTAAATTTATGGTACGTACCAGTAATTCAGAGCATTCACAATACATACTATTTTGTGCATCACCAAACCTACGTTTTTACTATACGATAAATACGATAATCCAGTGTTCATACAATATCAAAACAATTATTAATGAAGTAATTGATATTGCCTTTATGTGCTGACCTTGGTGCTGTCTCAGTTCAAGAATGATAACAGTATTTTAGATTCTCCAGTCATGATTTAAATACTAGAATTGACATTTACTTGATTTGATATAGAAGCAGGTAAACCAGTTTTAATAATAAACTTTCCCACGATTGTCTTTAATTTCAGCCAGTTTATTTCTATATAACATTTACTCCCAGTACCTGTCTTGACTTTGCAGGTTGAAGATGATGTCCCAATCATAAATTCATTTACTGAATCTTGCACTAATCAAGTTTACAACGATGATGATTACCATATTAGCTCTATCAACAGAGCATACACTTATATTCATAATTGCAGCTTTTTTTGATGTGGTATCATATTGAAATTTTTTTTATTTGATTTCATTCATTATTGAACTCATTAAATACAGGACAAGGACTGTGCTTTGTCAATACATTTTGAGTGTTTTTATTATTTACATACTTTAAAGAGTTAAATGATGGGTTAATGGTGTTAACAATTATGATGTAAAGTTTTTCAGTTTAATATCTCATACCAACATCTCAAAGAAATGCTGACAATGCTGTTTTCAAGTGCCAGCAAAGTTCTAAATAAGTGTTGTATTTGCTATATTAGCAATGCTTATGCTAGGGATCAATGATCCAGTATCAGTTGACTTGTATACAGTCTCTTTTTTTTGGGTGTTTTTTCAATGAAATAAAATATTATGTAAGAGTATGAATGGTGAAAGCCGGGTTACCATGAAACAAACCAGAGACTTTTGTTCCTTGGAAAGGTTCCCCTCACTATGAATATTAATGAGCATTTCAATGACATGACATTGACAATGATGGGAGGAGCATTCATACATGTAATTACATTTATTCAAAATAAATTCTGCTAGCATACTGACAAAAATGGGCAGGGGTTTTTCTAAACCGGAGAACAGGGGCACAGCGCACCCAAATACTCTCGGTTGGCGCCCGCTTACTGAATTGCCGATTGAATTTTCAAGTCATTAATATATATTTCTGCCATACAACATGAAATCTTTCTTGTTGATTTGATAGAACACTCAAAAAACACTTGCACAACATCACGACCAGAAGTGTATGTATCGAAGACCTCTCATTGGTGTTCTTGAATTGATGTATAGCCTACTGATAGTATCTTTAGTGCATCTTTTGCACTCTATTGCAATGCCATAACAAATCTCAAAGAATATTGTGAAATTTCAATTTCGGCATGGTTTCTAAAATTAACAAATTTGACCTTAATGCTGATTGGTGAAATATTAATGACCCTATCAATCATTGTATCACACACAGCCCCAGACTGGTAAAAATCATAATCCATGTCCCAAGAGAGTGTCTACAAGGACACAGTTTCTTTGTTTCGCGGTAATCCAGCTTTCACAATTTATTCTTTCGCATAATATATTTTATTGAAAAAAACATCAAAAAACAAACATGCGCTAATATCTTATAATTTTGTATTCACGCTGCCTCACTTTGGTGTTGGGTATGTTTTCAGATTATTGATAATTAGTAATATTTTTAAAGATTTTTATTTATAAGTGGCAGAATGATATAAAGGTCCATTTTGTTCACAGAGAAGTAGTACATTTTACAATGTGTATTTAGCATCAACTTTGTTGGTTTATTCTGTAAAAAAATGCTACTAATAAAGATAAACACAGTTGTGTCTAATTCTATTTGTCTATTGTTTTGTGGACATTGCCTCCAATACTTTTTATGACAGGAATGTACTATTTTCTGGCTATAACCTTAATAGGAAATCATGTTCATTTGGTCCAAAATTAACAACAAAATAAATAAAAATGTATACCCAAATTGGAAAAATTGTGGTGAAAAGCGTTTTCCAATTCATTGTTATAAGATGATTAAATTCACAAACTGCAAAAGCAAGAGTGTGCATGCCAAGTGTATCTGAAACATAATATTGTTTTTGTGCATACGCATCAATGTTATTTATATCCCAATAGTACATCATTCAGATCAGCAGACAACTAATTATCTAACTGGTCATCCTCTGCTGAACACTATTAAGTGTAACCATGACAACACAACAGGTTATAGGTGATAACAAATAATAACTTTGTGATTAGTATAATTGATATCAAATTAATAAATATGATACATTAATTGCGAAGTGTTTGGCGTTTCCTTAGTAACATTAATTTCCAATGACGCACAACTCAATTATTTTTATAGTGATAAACAAATTGGGTAGCTACTTTTATCTAATAGAGTGAAAAGACCTAGAGACAAGACATTTAGTTTGTTGGTCCCGCGCTGAGCTGATGTCTTTTTAAGTCTTGTCGCAGCACAACCACGAGGTAAAAGTTTTCAAGGTAAAGTCTGGTGTATTATTACGTGTCTTGAAAGAATACTGTAAGAGAACATTAGTGTGTAATATTCAGCCTGTATAAATGATACAAGTATGTAAAGGGCAGTTACATGAGTGCACTAGATTATACCTGTGAATTGTTATGGAGATTATTCTCATATTGTGCAGTAAATGTTGTGGTTATGCATGCATAAATACATTTTCCCTGTTACATTTGAAATGTGAGCAATTTGCTGACTTGTGAATGTTCAAAAGGACAACTAACAGCGTCTTGATGACCCTTGATATAAATCGCTGCATGTGAGGACCACTTGCGATATAAATTGTCAGTGTCTTGATGACTTGCGATATAAAGGGTCATTGTCTTGATGACTTGCGATATAAAGGGTCATTGTCTTGATGACTTGTAATATAAATAGTCATTGTCTTGATGACTTGCGATGTAAATGGTAATTGTCTTGATGACTTGCGATATAAATGGTCATTGTCTTGATGACTTGTGATATAAATAGTCATTGTCTTGATGACTTGTGATATAAACAGCCATTGTCTTGATGACTTGTGATATAAATGGTCATTGTCTTGATGACTTGCGATATAAATGGTCATTGTCTTGATGACTTGCGATATAAATGGTCATTGTCTTGATGACTTGTGATATAAATGGTCAGTGTCTTGTGATATAAATGGTCAGTGTCTTCCGATATAAATGGTCATTGTCTTGATGATCTGTGATATAAATGGTCATTGTCTTGATGACTTGTGATATAAATGGTCATTGTCTTGATGACTTGTAATATAAATGGTCAGTGTCTTGTGATATAAATGGTCAGTGTCTTGATGATCTGTGATATAAATAGTCATTGTCTTGATGACTTGTGATATAAATGGTCAGTGTCTTGTGATATAAATGGTCAGTGTCTTCCGATATAAATGGTCATTGTCTTGATGATCTGTGATATAAATGGTCATTGTCTTGATGACTTGTGATATAAATGGTCATTGTCTTGATGACTTGTAATATAAATGGTCAGTGTCTTGTAATATAAATGGTCAGTGTCTTGATGACTTGTGATATAAATGGTCAGTGTCTTGTGATATAAATGGTCAATGTCTTGTGATATAAATGGTCAGTGTCTTGATGATCTGTGTTATAAATGGTCAGTCTTGATGACTTGTGATATAAATGGTTACCGTCTTAAGGACTCATGATATAAATGGTCACTGTCCTGTCTTACTAATATTTTTATCGTGACAGAAATGGTCACTGCCTTGACTCTTCAAGACAACGTGGAGCTGTTCTTATTGATGATTGACTGTCCTACAACAATTTCATTTTCATTATCTGAAAACTACAAGCTCAATTGCTTTTGAATTAATACTTGTACACACTTACTACTGACCATCACCCATTATTTCTTTGAACTGCAAATAATTTAATGCAAGTAAAATTCTTTTAAGTTTGCTAAATTACAAATTATCAAAGCAATTCAACAATCCTGCTCTATATTGCTTGTACTGTCAATTCTGCATTCACTATCAATGCCCATAGACTGTTAATCAAAAATATAAAATACCATATTTATGAACTTCAACTAAAACAATGGAATGTACAAATTTGACATTCCTAAAAATTAAAAAATCACCAGGAAAAAAAATATTTAATAAAGTATGAAGTATGTTTATTGAAAATATATTTTCAACTGATACAGAGAAAATAATTACATATTTTTATAAAATACTCATATTCTGGTGCCATGCATACATATTAATACTGTATTCAATAAGTGGACCATTTTATGCTGTGGAGGGGGTGGTTAGCCTATAATCAGGGTGCTTTGTAAAGTAAGCATTCAAAACTCCTACAAATTCATACCTAGCATCAATGGTTGGTTCTTTTGTCCAGTTTAAATGAGTGGCATGAGTAAATCATGAAATCTCTGGATGATTGATACTGTTCATGTTAATTGTTTTTGTTTGCAATCAACAAAATTATATACAGTCAATAGCTTTCTGAGAAAAGACAATAAAAATAAAAGAAATGATGTTACCAAGTCCCCTTCAATGTTAAATTATAGAACTTAAATTATGAAAGCATATGTGAAATTACATCTGGTAATCTGTTATAATATCTACTGTGTACCCGCATTCCAACTGATGTGTTTCTGTACACGAAATTGTTGTATTGAGCACAAGCAATTAGTTTTTTTCAAACAATGTCACATCCCATTAGGTAAATTTAATTAATTATTCAGAATGTATAGTAGATATAAAAAGTACTATAAACAACAATGGTAGGACTACAATATATAATTAATTATTATGGACAGTATTATCAATAATTCAATATTTTTGGAATTTTCAATGTGAATACACGTTTAACTTTTGTGCGAAATTTTTTTTTATATCATGAGCATCATATATGTCACATGACATGGTGTAACTGCAACACATTAATTGATGCAATCATAATAAATAATTTGATGTCAATATACTGACTACACATATCAGTCAGATACCTACGAAGATTTCAAATATTACGGTCATTAGGTTTTACTATGAATTTTAAAGGATTGCAACTTCATACAAATGTATTAAGATACGTATAATCAAAGTTTTTTTCTTAAAAAATGTGCAGTATAAAAATAGCTTTTATTTTGTACAGATACAGCATCTTTTTCTGTAAAATTGGTGTGTTGTACAGATTAAACTTACATGTGGAAATTACATTAGAATAACATGAAATTGTCTAGTATAATTATAATATACCCATGTATATATTTAGATATCCAATGACATTATTGCTCTAAACTATTAGGTGATTGGGCAATTCACTGATCCCAAACATGGGTCTGAATCATTTGGTTTGGATGTAAAAACATAAAGTGTGCAAACATCCCACAGATGATATTATCATAACAAAAATGAAATATATACCACACCAGTGATAAATGCGATTCAAATTTATTTTCAGAGAGCAATTCACTGTTTAACACTCTATGGTGCGTGCTTGTGTTGAAAAGTTCATGTTATGTAAATGAGTGAATGAAAGGAAGACTGTTCACAACATCAATATTATATTTTAATTGTAGTTAGTTAATAAAATTGAGATGTCGTATATTATAAACGAGGAATGACTATAAAATAGACGGTGGTGCAACTTTAAACGATGTAACTTTTACATCACAAAAGTGTTTCATTAGTAGATTTATAATAAGTTTATAGCGATGAAAACAAATTTACACACCAATGATTTCAAAGTAGTCTGTATGGTCCATAAAAGTGACAACTTTTTAAAGGCACAATGTTACGTGTATCAAGTTCATTTGATCTAGTTTGACTAATGTTAGGATGATTTTCAAAGTTATCGAAAGCATGTAATACCTAACTTGACACCGATGATTAAAAACACAATACAATGAAACAATGATAATTCTCCGCTTTAAATCAAACATTAAGTAATCTATAACAAAAGTACATTATGAAAATATTATTTCTTTTAAGCAAATTTGATGTACACATACCGCCCCAAATGTGAAATTAACATAGCATACCTATAACAACCTTGCCCATTGAGACTATAAGATAATAAATAATGGATAAAAACTAATGATGTACTTGCTGCATGGTATGTTAGAATAAAAGTTCTAAAACATAACAAATATATTGTGCGGAAATATACTGACTAAAATTTAGGTGGGAAAAATCTGACAAAAAAATATTAACAAATTAACTTATATCAATGTTCCTCAATTAAAATTACAATTTCTTCCCCTTTGAAAATTCAACCATATAATTATTTAGCAGATTTTCGTAAATTATTGGCTGAAGGAGTTTTTAGTGACGAAGCTGTGATTCAGTTAAGTCACACACCTCAATGTAGCCGGCATATTGAATTTTTTTTCAGTTTCGATATGACTGCCTGTTTCTCCTTTAAACTTGTACTAGAATTAACATCAAGTACAATGTCTTAAGGCAACACATTCTAATATAATTTGTGAAAAATCAAACAAAATGTTATAATATAAAAATTAAATCATACAAAATGAAAACATTTTAAAATCATAATTTCCGGTATCTGCAATCACTTTTTGATGACCTCTGTCCACCACAACCCATATAGGTAACATGGTATGGTATGGTTTAACTCTCTTTAAACAAAATCCTTAATAACTTGGTCATAACACAGCATTCTAAATTACTTTCTGTAAATAATATTATATTCCTTATCATTATCAAATGTGTAACAAAATAAAATACCACCCCTGTAACAAAGTAGAATGTTCCTCATGTAACAGGTGATACCACTATTCTAGAGGGTGTACAGATTAAGCTACTTCATTTGTGACATCATGCACATGTCTCCCAAGTAATGGTTTCTTTTCATCGGAGGTGCCTTGTTGTAAATGACGATTGAATACTTCTCTGTCAAGTTGATCATGCTGTCGTTTTCTCTTCCACTCCTTATATGGCCATGCGGGAAATCCTATCCGCCTTTCTCTACAAAACTGTAGAATCATGCCGGCTGTTGCCAGGACAACCCAAACACCCACCAATATATAATCTATGAGAAAGACATTAGTGTATATATTTACCAATTTGTTTTTTAGGCACAGACAATAAAAAAAAAATGACCTCATCATCATTTTATGTAAGCGCTACGGCAGTCATTGTACTGTACAAAAACTGACTGTCGACTGACTAATTAGTATAGAAATAAACAGACAAAAATAAACATTTATGGTCACTGGTTTTTCTAAAATCAATGTGTCCTTAAGACTTAAGAGTCACAGTGAACTATTCATGAGTTCTTTTTACTGCCACCATAATATTGTTTCGGAAATGACAATACTGTCAGTTACAACTATGTATGTTGCTGAGATTTGAGACTTTAAAATAATTAATACTGAAAAACACATTCAATGTCTATAGAAGATGCAATTTCATTTTAATTTACTTAATAAATTAAAACAAAATGTATGTACTAATGCGATCTTGCATGTGCACGACATAATGTTGATAAATGTTGGTTCCTAGATAGTCACGGTGACTCTCACTTGGTTCTTAGATAGTCACGGTGACTCTCACTTGGTTCTTAGATAGTCACGGTGACTCTCACTTGGTTCCTAGATAGTCACCGTGACTCTCACTTGGTTCTTAGATAGTCACAGTGACTCTCACTTGGTTCTTAGATAGTCACGGTGACTCTCACTTGGTTCATAGATAGTCACAGTGACTCTCACTTGGTTCTTAGATAGTCACGGTGACTCTCACTTGGTTCCTAGATAGTCACGGTAAC